CATTTACTATATATATATATATATATATATATTAACCACTAATTGCTCTTGCCAAAATAAATGTTGATGTTGCATTTTAAAATACGGATGAAAATGAAAATTACTCCGATCATTCGGTCATCTCAAGCATATATGGTGTGTACTTGTAATTGGAGAATTAATTAGTTTATTATATTACAAAAAAGTTACCTATATTGATTTATAAAAGTTTCATATATTATATATGTAAATATAAATATATTTCACATATATTCATATATATTTTTAATATTAATTTTGAATGCAATTTAACAATATATTATGTATTAATAGAATTTATATTTTATTTTTAACAATTATAACAAAATGCTTAAAAGTAAGTTGTAATCAAGAAACAATAAAAAAAATACGATGAATTTTTGAAAAAAACTAACGGTCACTTAAAATAATCAATTATTGATCACAATTTATAATAATCGATTATTTTTATTTATTTTTTATTTTCAATGAAAAAAAGTCATTTGTTTTATATAATTAATTACCAAAATAAAATAATCGATTATTTTGAAGCGAAGAATTCCCTCCCACAAATTATTGATTACCGGATAATATAATCTACTTTTTTTTTGGTAACCTATAATCTATTGAAATTGCTCTTGATTTTCAGACTCCTGTAGTCCTGTTAAACAAAATAATTGACAATAACTTAATAATAATCTATTGAAATTGTTCATAATAATATCATTCTAATAATCGACAATGACATTATTGAGGAGGGCACTTAGGAATGGAATCCCCGCTAATCATTCCAATAGCATAAATTTCTTGATGATGTTATTGATGAGGTGATAATGATGTTATTGAAATGACTAACTAATTAACGGTGATTCCATCCGTGCTTGAACGTCGAAACCAGATAAATCAATGTTCTCATACTTGTGGATTCTAACATGGACAGCTATACTATTCAACAAAGATATATCTCTGAGAGTACCATGTGAAACATTGATGAATTTCAAAGCCTGAGTGAATCAAACTGTAATTATGTTTTGTCCAACAAATAGATGGCTATGTAGTCCTTAATAATAATTATTCCCATCTCGGAACTACTTAGATAAGCTTTGTCCTTAAATCACCAGTGATACCACAACATAGAACATGATGGTAATTTGCTTCTAGCTACACTAGTTTTATTTAACATTGTTAAACTGCATTAATAGCCAAAAGAAGTTACAAATACTGCAAAAATGTCCTCCACCACTGAGTTCTTAGAAGCAAGTCAAAGCTTCCAGAGCTAGAATCTGTCTTCCCATCAGCCACTTTTGCATAACGGGTCACATCAAAATATTCTAATGGCGTTGAATATAGCTCAGCGGATTCATCTGAGCCATCATAAGGGTAATTTTCTAGTGCAGTTGGTTCAGCTGAGTCAGCAGGAGGAATTTCATCTGGGGCAGGAGAATCAGCTTGAGGTTCTGGAGCTAAAGTGGTTGAAGCCCTGGCAAATGTTATGCCAATTTCAGAACTAACTAAATAAATAACTGCTATAATCAAGCTTAATGCTAATATCTTCTTCATTTTTGGCACAACTTGTCTTGTTAACTCCTATGAACAATGGGGTTAACACTTCTTTATATGTTTAATTAATCCCAAGTTTTTTGAATTATGCTAAACGTACAGTTTTTCTTTCACATTTTAACTGTTTAGCACATTCATTAGCTTTTATGTTGTCATAAATTTCATTTAGTACTATGCAAGTTTTAGAAACAGATCCTACGTGGTAATGGTGTGCAGTTTGTTGCTGACTGACTAACTGAAAGGGGTATTCTGAAACAAGGAAATATGACATCAAAAATGACCTGATAATGATATAGAGTCAAAGAAACAGCCATTGTTATACAATAATTATGATTTATGACATGAAACAAGTAACTATATATAGGCACTTTAATTTGAAACATCCAGTTCTAATTTAAAAAATTCTGCAAGATGAACTTCTGAAAAAAAAAATTCTGAAGCACAAGCAATGAAGTTATTTTATTGTACTCACACAGTTAAAGTTATAAAGAATGACTTTTATTTAAACAAACAAAAAAGGTAAGGCACTTATATACGTAGGTTATGTTGCCATTTAAAGACGGCTGTTACTTATTCAACCCCAAAAGAATCCAATTTTTGTTTCCTTATAATAAAATGTTTTCTTGAAAGAAAGAATGAGGAAATGAGACCAAGATTTTTTTCTTCTTCAGTGGATTGCGTAAAGCATAACAAGAAGATATATATGAGAGGAAAATTCTGGTCTCTTAGTCATTTAAATATCATTGAAGAAGAACCAGGATTTCCACAATATCTTCCGATGTGAAAACGACTTTGAGTTTTAAAAGTAACAATAAGTTCAACGCCTTTGGATGGAGAAGTTCATGTAGTATATAGCCTTAGCACCACCGTAGTATAGTGAGCCTCTGTGCAAAGTCTAATACCAAAAAAACAGAACAGAAATAAAGGATACAGAAAAAAGTAACGAACGCTACAATATAACCTCTTCTTGGAAAAAGAAAAGGTTCTAAATGGTTGATCATTCTCATATATTGCTTCATACTTTACAATACAAGACAATTGAAATGGAAAACTGCATAATTACAATTGATAAAAATTAGCAGTAAATTACAGTCTTAAAATTAGTAAAATCATTAACCAAGAATGGCTTATTTGATGCTTTGAAATTTACATCTCTCATCCAGTTAATAAATTACCTTGCCCAGCTCATTGAAACAGCACAACCTCTCTAGAATCACTCTAAGAAGATCTGGAGGCAGTTGAATGACTAGACAAGGATAAAAAAAATTTATAAATTACTTAATCTAATTATTTTATATACAACTTCTGCCTTTTCTGTTGGCAGGTGAAAGCTAGACATGGAAGTTGATTCTATTTGGTTCGAATTGTTGTTCAAGAGGAGAGATTGGAAATCAGACAGCAAGTGAAATTAAGGGTTGAATTAGGTTTGGCTTCAGGTAGTTAATTGCCAGAGCTGCAAAAATGCATGTGATTTCAAGTCAAGCCCTTACAGGCAAGCTGGTGGTTTTTGTATGCCAACATAGATTGGTTTAATGTTGGCACATCTAGAGCCTGAAGGCCTGGGTCCAAGATTCAGGTCTATGTTGGTGAGTTTAACATTATTGCATGGAAACTGCTGGCTACACCTTAAATCCACTGCAATTGGTGAAGTTGTGCTTCCCTTTATATTTGAAAAATGAACATCACTTATCTTTACAAGTGAAGGCTGCATGGAAATAAATGAATGCCCATATTAGCATGTTCCAACTTCATAATTGAAAGGGAAAATATAAGGGTTATTATATGTGAAAGAAAATAAACAAAGGCTATCCCAATCTCAATGAACAACTTCAACTTTTGTGCATTGTACTCTCAAGTTGGAGGCCTAATAGGCTAACTTGAAACATCAGTATAACACAAATTTATTGGATTAAAAAGAGAAAGATATAAACAAACCAACCTTCTTTTTGCAGTTTGGAAAGCATTGATACTCTTGGTCGATGATGATAGGATTTTTAACATTTTCCATGATAATGTCACTGTAGCCTATATCTGATGCTGAACCTGGAAACTTATCTGGCCATGTCTTGATTCTAATGCCATTGTCTGTGCCAACCAACGTGCAGTTCTCGACACGAATCTGGTTCACTTCTGGTTCATCTGCATACTTTCCAAGACTTCCAACACTGTCATGCACAAGTAAAGTTAAATAAGGAACTCGGCAAATTGTATTCTCAAAATACCACCCTCTTCTTGTGTTATATATAAGACCAGTTTGAATACGCTTCTCCATTAGTACTTCTAAGATAGAAGAAGAAAAAAGAAAATTGAAATAAATTTCTTCATAAACTAAAATTAGCTTATATATGAGTTAAAAAAAAAAGATTTTGGAGAAGTTAATAACAAATAATCTTTACAAATTAACTTATGCATAAGTTAATTATAACATATGAATAAACTTATTTCATTTTTTTTTCTAGAAGTGCTTTTGGAAAAATTTATTCAAAAAATCCCACATACTGATACTACAATCTAACTAACTCTTACTATTTACTTATATTTCAAGTAAGTCAAGATACAAATCCATAATTATGTTTATGGATCACTCAATTTTCATAAAATTTAAATCAATTAACTGCATTCAACTATATATGATCGAGTAGTGAACTTTCTCAGTTGGTCAAAAAGTAAATAATGGATTCATGAATATGAATTAATGGAGTAGAAAATAATCTTTTAACCTTTGTGAATCAGTGTAGCCAAGCGAGCAATTTAGAATTACCTAATACCGTGTCCAGGACCGCAATGCAATTTGTGGACGGTAACATTCTTGACTCCTTTTATCATGGAAACACAATCATCTCCAGTTTCAATGTTATTTTCGGATAATTTTACATTGAAAGAGCTGCTAATATGAATTCCATCGGTGTTGGGACTGGTAGCTGGTGCAGTGAGCCTAAGTGATTCAGCTCTGATGTTATCACTGTTGGTGATAAATATGTGAAAGCCTTTGGGATCCACGGATTTTATGTTATGTAGAATTCCATTGCTAACTTTGTTGAAATAAAGACTCTGCATTCGGAAAAACACAAAAAAAATTATTTATTTATTTATATTTTTTTAAAAAATATTTTTAAAAAATTTATGAAAACAGATTCTAAATAAATATGGACTTACACTAGGATTTCTGACACAAGTGTCGCTGGGGTCTGTTTTACAGTTCTCAGTATGTGCCCATGAAGACTTACCCGCGCCATCAAAAGTACCACCACCAATAAGTTTTAAACCATTTAGTTCTTCAAACATGAGCCATTCACCATTCTCATATTCACTGATATCTGTTGTGGCCACAACAGTGCCAACAACTTGGATTGTTACGGGATTTGGAGTCGAACATGGCCCTGCGAAAAACATGGTAGAAACCACGAATCTTCCCTGAGGAACCAGAAGCCTCGCTTGCACGTTGGACTTGCAAGTTGCTCTCCATGCGTCCATGAAAGCCTACAGCCACATGTATAACCAACGTAAGACCCGTGTTTGTTGTTTTATCAAATTATCAAAATGTTTTTTTTTTTTTTTTTTGTTAAGAATTATGTTTCGTATTAGCAATTTTGGGTTTGATTCATTGTCCTTGTGGCTTCTTATGATCGTTTCCTGCAGTACTTGCAGCAGCTGGGTGGTATTTAGGTAAACAATTTAATTAAACACTTGTTTAATAATAGTTTTCTCAAATAAATTTCGTCTAAATTCTTCCAAAAATACACTTCCGTTCCTTAATCCCAAAGTCAAAGCTAGAAGTACTTTAGGAAGCCATGGACAGATTTTTATAAAAGGGAATATCCGGATCATTTGTTCTTTATATCAATTCACGGTTATTCTATCTCAGATAACATGATACAGAACGTAAAGTAAACATTTTGCATTTTCAATGTTAACGGTGTGCAGTAATTAATTTTGAATTGAAATTGGAAATTTAGGTTATGTTGGGACAAACTTATTCGAAAGCATTTATGAAAGAAAATATAAGAATAAAAAATTAAACAAGCTTTTTCATATGTGAAACTTGTGTATAAATTAATTTATAAATATTTTGGAGAAGTTATATAAGAGAACTTCTACACATTAACTTAAGTATAAGTTAATTTTAACTTATTGAAAAACTTATTTTATTTTTTTCTCATAAAAATTTTAAATAAATTTATCCAAACAGGCTAGTCTTTCTCTTAAAGACCACCATAGGAAATAAAACTTTCTATGGAAGTATTTAATACAAGTATTTACTTAGTATTTGAATTTGAGATTTATGATTATATTGAAATGTACCGATTAATTATGTCACTTGATGGTGAGAATTAATTAGTTTAATTGTGAAGTGTTGCCAATATATCACCATTTATGGCCAAAATTTGAATGACTTTCAAAGCCCGTGATCGGAGGTGATTCACATATTGTAGTAATTTTTAGAATCTATATTTATAATTACCAATAATAACAAAGGCATATCTATATTTAGTATACACATTTTAAAGATGGTTTTATCCATTAACAAAAAGTTAAATTATGAAATTTTAGATAAAAGCGAACAATATTATATTAATGTAGAGATATGTGTATAAATCTTCGGTGGTTAACAAAATCTTTCTAAGATGATAATAAAACAATACTACTTAAACTTTTCCATCATGTCCTTATTGTAAAAAGACTAATCATTCACAAAAGAGATATTGATAGAAGTCTGACACAAGATGTTATTAGTGCGGTCAATTTGGACACAGAGAAAATATACAAGTCTTGTTAGTAGTAATGAAAGACCAACATTGTTAAAGATTGATCAACTAGAAAGAGGAATAGTTACTTTTAATGTTATGTTTTACAACCAACAAACCCTCAAAAACTTGATTTAGTGATAATGGTTCTATTAAAATCCACTTAAGTTTGAAATTAATATATAATGTTTTGTATGTTTCCAAAATTAGTCAAAATCTTTTAAGTGGTGTTCAATTATCAGAGATAAAACAACAAAGTGTTGTTTGATGATAAAAGTTGTGTGAACATAGAAGTGATCAAAGTTCATATGAAAAATAAGATTTCTCCTCTATATTTGATGAATGGGGAGTCAACTATGAAAAATAATATAAAAATGAAGGATCATTATTAAATGAAGAGCACAAGATGAATATGTTTTGAAGAAACTTGATATTTAAGAGGAGAATGAAGATATTAAAAAACCATCTGAAATGTATCAAAGTTTCAATGTTGTTATACCATGAAACCACAATAAACAAAGAAGATGAAATTGACCAAAAAAAAAAAAAAGACAAAGGCATCAAAGGAAAGTTAAAGTTAAATGATAAAATGAGTCCCACAAAAGATTGTGATAAGAATCATTACGAGAATATAAAAAAAGAAAGCAAGCATAAAAAGGAGAAAATCAACTCTTTCTATCTTGAAATTCAACTTGGATTTTCAAAGATATTGAATCAAAGAAAAGTTTTAAAAAAATAATTAAATAGCTTTAATTTGAAAAAGAATAATTCAATTTTTAAGAAGTTTGCTATGTTTCAAACTTTTGGAATATTATTTAGATAAAGATAATCATTTAAGTTTAGAATATTATCAACATGATTTCAAGATTAAAATAAGGTTAGTATTTAAATTTTATATTGCACTTCTGGTACATATGTAGGGTCAATGAATAAAAATATACCAAATTTCTCTTGAAAAAAAAATGAATTACAGTTCAAAAAGGAAAAAAAAAATCCTGTTGAAAAATATTTTTATAAATAAAAGTAAAATAAACCATTGTAGCCCAAGTCAACTTATCTCTTCAGAATTTTATTTTTATCTAATTTGGTTCCCTTAAAACATTTGGTCAAGATGGAAGTAGTGTCACATTGAAATTATCATATTTTGGTGTTGGATTAAGAAAGTCTTGGGTTCTCTGATTACAATGATTTTATAGCATGGTTCTCCTGATAATAGCATTGTAGTCGTATTCGTCAAACTCAAAATGGGTAATTAATGCATAGCTAATTGCTATTCTGTAAAGCATGGTGGAATGTTAATTATGTTCTATTTGCAAGATAATAATGAAGATATGGTAATTCTGCCAAGTTTCTTATCAAACCAAATGACCTTATATTTACCAATAGTGAAGGAAAAATTGACAATGTTTATATATTTCACATTGTAAGGAGAAGAAAAAGACAATCCATAAACATTCTTGGTGCTTATTCTATGCAGCATAGTCACCACACGATTGAACAAAGATATAATATCCCATAAAACTACCTGAGTGCAGTCAAATTTTCCATCAGGTTTGGCTCCAAAGCTCATGACATTGTTTACCTTCTCGCCAGGAGAAAGGGCATCCGTAACTACATTTGCGCCTTTGTTGATCAAAGGACCAGCAACAGGAATTACTCCTTTTATGGAATCCACATAATAAGCCAGTGCAAACCACAAAATTATAACACCAACTCTCTTCGTAATGGCCATTAATATTAAGCCTCAATTCTATATTCCTTTACTTTTAAATTTTTTTTTTTTTTTTTTTTTTTTTTTTTTTTTT